GGGATGACCACAAACAGCACAGTGAATAGCAGAACTTTCAATATACTTTAAGAGGGACATCGATGAAACGGGAGCTTCGGTTAAAAACGGAAACAAGAAGTGTCGTTCTTTCACCATCGACGCACGGTAGCGAAGGCTTACATCGAGAGTCACATGTTCGGAAACCACGGCCCCAAGCACATTTGGTATGAACCTTGGATATCAAACAAAAGCTCTCTAACGCCACAGAAAACTTCCATGAACACAAAAACATCGTAGTCACTCTAATGACTTCAATACTTACGCTCGCCTACTACGTACGCCAGCCTGCATGGTCGGTGGATCCCAGGCACAAGGACCTAGCAAAAAATACCAGGGTCTAACTAGTGACGGCTTGCTAGAAAAACATTTGTCATCACGAAATTTGGCACCATAAATTCGGCCTGACTACCAGGCAGGCTGCAAAGGCCGCGTGTGACCAGGGATCCCAAGTGTAGGCTACAGGGATGCAACAGATATCATCTTACTCGTTTTGCGTCCATCATATTGTGAACGTTAAAAATCGGTGCGCAGTCTTTTGTCATTTGCACTCAGCTTGTGCCGTAAATTTACTGATTCGATCCAGCCGTGTCCAACTCCAATCCGGAAACGCACCAGACGAACGTTTCGCATTATCAGGGCCATCTTTACGGCACAGGAAAAGCAAAGCTCAGCACCTTTATTTCAAGCACCCTGCTCCGATGGCTCAGCCATGTGTTACGCATGCCAGCCCATCGGCTTCCGGGACGTGCGACGTTTGCGCGCTGGAGGTGTGGATGGAAGAAGAGGAGAGGTGGCCAAGCGATGACTTGGTCGACAGAACTGAAGGCCCTCACTTCGAAGCTGACCTCGGCTCTCCGGTTGGGGACCGAAAGATGAACACGTTTAGTTGGATAGACCTGCTGACATGGATAGGAGCCGACCTCAATGACGTTCGTGCCGTGAGTTTCTTTGTCCCTCCCCTTCCCTCTAAGCTTCCCCTGCCAACCATGAACTCTTTTGTTAGCATAATAAAATTTGACATAATAATTTTCTTGTTGTTGCATAGTGGCCGGCTGGTAGCTTTCCGAAACGATGCCCATCCGTTAATGGTAGCTCAGCTGACATGCATCTGTTGCAGATTATTTTTCTTTTATGTATTGCAGTACAGCATCTGAGGTGTGTTCCACCGCTAGCTAACGTGTATACTGATGATTGGGACTCGTCAGTGGTGCGCATTCCCTCAGTCCGCTTCAATAAATAGTACCCACGACTGTTAACAGCTTTCGCCAAATGGCCATAGGGGACCGTAGCAGGCCGTCATAACTTGCAAGCTAACTGGGATATATCGCAACCTATCCTCCAATGTTATGCAGCATCCTACCATTACAGAAGACAGTGACCGGTCTCCAAAGGTCAAGACTCCCACTGCACAGCAGCTACATACGCACAGTATTTGAAGACTTCGAGGGCAAATTTTCATTGCGCGCAAAAGTTAAACTAAGCTCCGGTCAAATATCTGCCATGAACAAAAGGAAGACTCAAGATAGCACATTGTGACGTGATGCACCTTCTCTAGTTAGTTCTCGTGTAGTCTCCACCTGAGCCTTGTTATTGCAGGTGCAAAGCAACTCCGTATTATCCAGCCAGTTCACGTAATTATCACCCACTTGTGTCGGTAGCGATCGATTAGCGTTCCGTCTACTGGCCTCATATGCGTTCCGTCCGCCTGATCGATCCGCCACCAGCACAGGCAATCCGGTGTCTTGCCACCACCATAACAAGAATGACCGGGAATTTGCATAACCAATAAATAAATAGTTTATTCTCAACCATATGAGGTACGTATGCAAAGGCATGATCATGAGAAAATGACCACGAATGATCAGAAAATTTGCGCGGATGTCACAAGTTTGTCAGTAACATGTTGGACCTACGTACGCATGCATGCAGCTGTGTTAGTTAAACTTGTAAATGTGCCGCTTTATTTATGACTGTGTTCGGTCGGTGGATGAGTGACGTCCGTGGAGTAGACATAATCATCCGGCTAAGGGGTGACTTTATTCAGTGGTGTTGTGTATACGCCATCCGAAACCGGATGCCGCCAACCATGTATGTATGTGTACCCCATGCTGAGGCTGAGGTTGCATTCATGATGCTTCTTCACCGCAGTTGGGCTAAACCAATTAACACTTAAACTAGGTCTTTTGAATGTGGATAAAATTCATTCCACTTTATTTGGTTCGTACTGCGTACTTGATAATCTCCTCCTAACTTGCACACGTCGCTCATGCAAATCGTGGTAAACTCGCGTAATTGTATCGCGTGGTATTTTTTAAAATACCTTTCGGACATTTTGTACTTATTGCGGATTCACTGATTACCAATTGCTTCCATATGCTCATTTAGCGAGTATTTATGTCGTCATATGCGTTTACTTTATTCGATATCGGCATTTCGAATGATTTGCTGTTGTTTGACATCCCAGGTGTGGCTGCGCTTGATGTGCATGTCGACAAGGTGCCTACCTGTCTATTACCCACTACCTCGTCCATACTGGCTCCAGGAGACAGTTGGTCTTTGCTGGAGAGGACGGGGTGCACGGTCTTTGTGGTCGTGCTAGGCTCGAAGAGTGGTTCCATGCACACAGTGTGGAGCGGACTATGGTCCATCCACCGACTTATGTGCGATTGATTCCCAAATACAGCGTGCTTGTGTTTGCCTGTGAAGGAGTGTGGGCCGGCTCCGTTGATGAAACGTAGCTCCCATCCGCATGCCTACCGGTCTTATTCCTTCGGGTTTACACTGGATATGGGGTGTGCGATTGGAGCTGTGGGTGGTGCAGCACAAGCCATCCATGGTCTCTCTGTAGGCGCAGGCGTCCTGTGGCTGGCCACAGTGACAGGCAAATGCGAAACCGGATGCCGCCATGGGTATCCGCCATATCGCAGTGTTGTTACACGCTTGCTAGGCGAAGACGCACCATGTCTTGGAACACTGTTGTGTCGGATATGAGTGCGAATATGGGGCGGACTCATTTGGTATTACTAATAAACGGCTAAGAATACCACTGATCTACTCTTCTGTTCCTAGTTTTGACGCTGGAGCCTTCATAAAAGATATGGCTTATTTGCGGGTCAAAAAAGGACGACTCGGGGAGCTTCCTTCACCTAATCTTCGAATAAGTCACAAGATACCGAAAAAAGTAAAGCAACAACTTCAACTGTCATACACAGCAGAAGCATGTGCCGACAAGCAAGCATTGTGAAGATCACGACTGCCTATGAATGGAAGGATTTTGGTGAGTATTTTTGTTCGTCGAAATCAGCCGACAATTCAAATATGTCGACCAGCTGTCCGGAAAAGCACCAGACGGCCGTTTCGCCCTGTTGGGGCTCATCAGTGGTGCGCATCCTTCGGTCCTTTGCGGAGGATCGAACCCATGACTGCTAGTGGCTCTTGCCAACTAGCGAAACGGCCGTCTGGTGCTTTTCCGGACAGCTGGTCGACATATCTGAATTGTCGGCTGATTGCGACGAACAAAAATAATCACGACTGCCTTTACAAAGGCGTTGCTAGTATTGTATTATTTTCTATCCCAAGAAGGAAGGTGAGCATCAAGCTTGAGACGAACAGGTGCTATCGATTTATTCATCTTCAGACCAACTACATAAATATACGTTTGGAAAAGTGTATTTCAGCAGAAGGTAATTAAATTCGATATTGCTTTGACAAATTATCTAGTCCAGCTGCGTCCCCTATGGCTTGTTGGCTTAAGGTGCTGGCTAGTTGGCGTCAGCCTCTAACAGTTGTGGGTTCGATCCCCAGTAGGGGGACCGAAAGAATGTGCACCACTGACGAGCCCCAATAGGGCGAAACGCATCTGTTGCTTTTCCGGATTGTGGTTGAGCTATGTAGCTTGTGAGCTGCTGGGACGAGTGCATTTAAAATTTAAATCGCTATCGTGACACGCATCAGGTGATCAAGTGATTGAAGTACATGGTTGGTCACTGGTCAATGTAGTAGCACTGCATTGACAAATCTTTTCTGAACACATAGATTCGGTTTTGTCAATGTGATGCATACCACTTCAGCGGTAGCAAGCAGTCGCGCTTCTGCCCAGTGAACTAGTTGCCGCGGTACTCCAGACAGGATTTCGACTTGATACCCCTGCAAATCAGGTGGTTAGTTATTGCACTCAAGTTACCTTTGTTCCGCTGATTGATGAGCGGATTCGGCAAAGGTTCCTTGATTCGCATTTTTAAGTGGCTGGCCGTCCGTACAATGCACCTATCTCCAAAGGAGCAGATGAATCGGTACATAAGCATGGATTAGAGTTGATCAGGAATTTTATCTGTGAATCTAGGAACAATTAGCGATTTGCTCGTAAAGACAAGGTTAAGTTGCGCTGCATTAAAAGTCGCTTTGTAAGTTCGCATTAGTCGTGTTGAACATAATTCAGCCGCCACATCACCCTTAAAAAAAGGAAGTTGGAGAAAGAGCTGTTTCTTCTCAACCGTCTGCACGGTGGATCTCGGACTGCTCAGCTTCATATCAACCTCAATGAAGCGGCCTGGGTAGCCGTTTTCGAGAAGCGTGTCTTTAAACCAATCAGTTTTCATCCAACTTCAATCTTGGTTGTTTGGTCGTGCCAACGATTTAGGCAATATCACAGAACTCTCATCCAACAAGATTGCGCAACCGACCGCGCCTCAGAGGGGGGGGGGGGAAGGAACTGAGAAGACAGGAGCAACGAAGGAAACGGCAGAGGTTCGGTAAGGGTTCTGAAGCATTTGGAGCAGCTGCGAATTCGCACAATAAATAGGTGTCCTATCAAGATCACATACAAAAATCTCCCGAGTGCTTCTATCGAGCCGAGTTGCTTCAGCATCCAACTGCACGGAGATGGTGAATAACATCGGGATCAAAAGAATACTTATAAAGTTGATAGGTGGTGCGCTGACACCTAAGGCTACTCGCGTTGTCAAGGTAGGACCCATGAATACAGAAGCTTGGTAGATCTATTTTAAAAAATCATACGGAAGGTTGATGTAGGGTCGCAGACAGGACATACATATTTATGTAGAAAATCTGCAGGGACACTCAGAGAGCATAGAAAGTAAAGGCACGGGACACTAAATACAGGCGGATGGGGTCCTGAGGCTTGAGTGCCCCGGAATGCTTGCCCAGGAGGAGGGAATGACTGGGCTGGGTTACAACGGAGAGACCATCTGACTCATCTGAAACAGATAGAAAGGAACACAAGTATAAGACTGGGTGTCGGACAAACATGATTCGCTTATGATCTGGTGAACCCTCATGCGTTACGGTGAGGCAGATGGGTAAAAACCTCGGCCGCCGACGATGAAAACAATAGCGAGGTAGGAGAGGATGCTGAGCATCAAGATTCTGCGGAACAAGTTAGCATGAGTAACGCCGAGAAAATAACGAAAAAGTAACGAGTGGTAAAAAAACAGGAACTTGCAGACACAATTCAATTGGAGACTGTTAGGTGGCCACAACGGATTAACGGATTCAAGAAGTGAAGTGGACCCACGTGAGGCCCCGCGGAAAGCCGACAAAGTCAGATCGTCGTCTGCAACACTGGTTGCTATGTGGTCGAGGGCAGCTGATGAGATTAGTTCGTTATTGACGAGACGGGTTGCTATGTGGAAAACGTGAGCGGGACTGCGGCCAAGTGCTGGAGGTCGTGAATACGTATGGACGTGAGCAGACAGGTGATCGTCAATCAGTCAAGCAATGTACAGTCGGATTTGAAGGTAATGGCGAGGACATGTGACCTACAAATATAATCGTTTTCTGACAAGTCATGCCCTCTGTTTCTCTCACCTGGCTTGGACGGAGATCCAAGAAAAGAACAGAACCAGGGCAGTGTTACAATTGAAACATGCGGACAATCGATAAACTGTGATAGTTGTGTTTAAAAGTCACACGAGCCCTTCAGAGTGATGACCCTACCAGGGGTGGTACAACTACTTACAGGTTGAGCACCCGACGATTCCCGAGCATGGTCTAACGCGATTACACCAGCCCACTAGGTAAAGATTCTGACTAACAGAGCAGATGCACAGGGGGGGATAAGTGATTAATAAGAGAGTATGACCTTGAGTGATGTGTTGAGGCTGTAGGCAAAAATCGCTACCATAGTCTAGACATCGTTCAGGTACCACAGCAGAGTTACGTAATTTCGAAACAGCACTGCATCAATTGGTAAGTCGGTTCTCATTCAACACTGCATGCCTAAGTGACAACGGATCAGTTAGCGAGGTCCCTATCGAATAGAGCGAGAAGGAACTTTTAACTTGCTTTGGTGAATTTATTCACAACGAGCCCGAATAGACCGATGACGGATGCCTCGTCTAGCCACTTTAAAATGGTTAGGAAGGAATACGCTAAGCAAACAACCGAGGCGCCCATCGCCGTTACGGAGCCAAGGCATGGCAGGCGAGTCAAACTCGCCCGCGCTGATTGGGGCGAACAGATAGCCAACCGGGTGACCTTATTCGATTGGCCGTAAGATGACCCTTATGGATTTTTCCATGTGAGCTTTAAATACCACTCACGAACTTTCGATTTTACCTTTATAATGAATGGTGCGGTTGGCTAATACATCTCTGTTCCTCTGCTTGTCCGATCCGGTCTTCTCTCTCTCCTGTAAGGGACCAGTGACCTCGAGTTCCGGTTGAGGATCAACCGTCAACTCAGGTGAGGAACGAGCACTTCAAAAACAAATCAAAAATTTTCCGATCCTATGAGGATTTAGACCCTCACTCATGAAACAATAGTCGGCCGGACGACAGTAAGCCAGCTTGACCAATTAAGTTGCTGTAATACAATGTAGATCATTTTTCACAGTCCAAAAATAAGCAGAAGTTTGCTATAGGTATTTCTCTTTATAATTCCAAATAGAAAAAAAGAAGACGTAACCTGCGAGATGACTCAGTCATTTCGTGTAGGCTCCTCAATCACAAAGCATGCAGAAAGCACACATATATAAAACGCGATCACATGAGATCAATAGTTGGTCAATCGTCATGCCTCACACTACCACAGTAGCTTAAGATTCGCAGTCAACTGTTTCTGCACACAAAGCAGCGGCCGCTCTCGATCGATGACGATGGCTTCCAATAGCCTGAGAATGTGGGGCCGCTGATTGCGCATTAGGACGGTGAATGACTCATCGGGGTTAACTCAGTGGCCGGTGCTCAGCAAGTGCCTTGTGATTGCCGAGGCACCTCGATTACTCAATTCAACCGATTCCGCCGTCGCCGAACCCACCCGGCTGCGTAATCACTTGGGAATGTGCTCATTGATCCTGACACTTGAACGTTAGTTAGTGCGCCCGATATAGCTGTCCTCGCAGCTACAATTTGTATATATTTTGTATAGGCAATGGGATATGCACTGCCTCGTTATCGGTGTCTTGCTGGAACACATAAGCAGAGGTCTTGTTGAAGTGAGCAACCGTAGTTCAGCTGCATTGTACGCCCTTTTCACTGAAGTACTAATAGGCTTCGTGGTGATTTTCATAATATGATCAACTTTGCATGGTAGTTCGATGAAGATCGGCTTCTTTTGAACTGTTGGCACACGATCTCGCTTGGACATGTCGCTAATGCGCCTTATAAACTGCACCGGATAACCGTTTGATTGTAATGTCTCGAACAGGAAATATTTCTCTGCTTCTAATGTGTCCGGGGTGCAAATCGTGTGGACTTGATGAAACAGCCTAAACACGAACGAGCATTTGTGTTGTATAAAGGAGAAAGGCTTAAAATGCAAATACTGATCTGTTAATGTTGCTTTTCGGCAGACTATTTCTGATCGAACCATCCATTCGCCGCAAGTCATTCACCGTCCTTATGCGCAATCAGCGGACTCACATTCTCAGGCAATTAGGAGTCATCGTCATCGATCGAGAGCGGTCGCTGCTTTGTGTGCAGAAACAGTTGACTGCGAAGCTTAATCTATCGTGGTAGTGTGAAGCGTGACGATTGCCCAATTATTAATCTCATGTGATCGCGTTTTGTATATCTATGATTTCTACATGCTTTGTGATTGAGGAGCCTGCACGAAATGACTGAGTCATCTAACAGTTTAGATCTCCTGATTTTTCTGTTTGGATTCCTAGAAGTGGCTGGCATCTGAATGGCGATGGAAAAGAACACTGATAATTCCCTTAAAACGACGGAGTGTGGATCCAGTACATTCAGGAAAAGCTGTACTAAAGTGCTAGCACGCACAAAAGCGATCGCTGATGAGAGACAGTATAGCCAGACTTCAGACAGGAAAATAAAATGTTGTAATACGTGCGCGATAATGAGTGACAATAGCGACTCGGAGTTCAGTAGCTCAGATCTGAAAACTAACAAGATAATGTCGAGGTATGAGAAAACGCATTCGTAGCACAGAGGCCCACCTTTGATTCGGTCATACTTTTCCTTTCACAACAGTGGGCGAGTACGTTTTGGAGGAGAGCCTTTTCCCTAACTGTCGACGTACACTGCCACTGTCTTTCCCAAGTTTGGACACCAACTCCATTGCGCAAGATTTCACCTGAGTTGCGCATATTGGCTTGCGGGGGGCCTGAGGGGAAGAGGATGTGCTCGTCTCGCGGGCGAAATCCGACTGTCGTCGAGTTCGCAACTGAAACGGATGCGTTGCCGGCGGTGGCAGACTATTGGAGGATACGTCCACAGGACTCAACGGTTTCCTAGTGGACGAGGAGGTCAGGTATGCCTTTGTAACAGCCTCCTCGGTTGCCTTGCGGATCATAGCGTTATGCGACATGCAAACGACCTGTTAGTCACAGGATACGTGGAGGGAGAAAAGGAAGTGCCCACGTGGAATAAGATGGATGAGTAATGAGAGCAAAGTGAAGAGTAACAGCAAGCACATCAAATGATCGCGAATCAAGAGTGGTAAACAAGGCTCACGGATGGTCAGCAGTTAGACACTTGGGACAGCAACGAGGTTGCTTCAGAATGTGAACGGGCAACTTACCGCGATTGAGGACGGCATTGTAGACCAACAATGGAGCGATCGCGTTAGTCGTGAGTGCCGCAAAATCGTACCTCTGGCGACGGGAAGAAATATTGCTCACAATCGTAAACGCCATGTTAGGAGGACTCCTACGTGACATGCATTTTTGTGAGAATTCCTATTTAACGACTTTCATTTTGTTATCGTCCGTCACTTGACAGTTGTTCAAACGCGTCGCGTCTTTCATTTGGTTGGCCGACGTAAGTCTTATTCATGGAGGTTATCTCAGAGCCCAATTTCGCCAACACCGTTTTCTTGAACACATGTGATTGGTTCTTATTTTTTGCGCTTCTCATTCGCCGGTGTCATGTTGTTGGTTGGCTTCGATATATTTCAGTAGCTTTGCCTATACTACTATCGTACCCCATATAAGTGAAGCAGCAATCTCATGAATACACCTCAGTCCTGGCTCGTCTTTCTTTTTCTCCTCATGGTCACAGGGTGCGAGCGGTTGGTGGCGATACACAACAGGCTGTGTGTACATGGATACAGTGAGGACCACTGATTTTTATGGTCGCTTCAATCTGAGGCGCATTCAAGAGTTCGATCAACGTTATCTGCGTCTACAACGGTGATATGGGTAGAGAAGAACTGCTAGATAGTGATAGGGGTAGTTCGTTAAATGAGCCAATAAGTTAGCTTGGTTAGAGCACAAATCACATGTGCCCGTCCACTTAACAGATCAACGGGGCAATCCTTTATCTGGCAGCGGGAAATACAGTCGCCAACCAGCGGATCTGGTAAGGTTGGACGGTCTCGCCTTCCAGACTAGAGTCCACGGGACCGTTCTATCGCAACGAGACTGGACCTTAACGTGGTGCGACGGTTTACGTACCTTCTTGACCCATTGAGCTATACTGGGTGATGCCTCCGGGCACCTTGAGAGCTACTTATACAAGGTTGTTTAATAATGAGAGGTCAGACAAACTCAGTCTCCTGGTCCTCCAGGTTGGGAGTTTGAAATGGGATGGCGTCCATATCTGTAAAACTAAATCATTGCCACCTCCCCGCTGCCTTGCGGACAGGCTTTGGAGCCAAAGGCTTGGGTTGAGGACCCTAATCGTCCTCCTGTCTAGGTCTGGGCGCCCTGACAGTATCTCAGCCCACATACAACCATGACATCATCTTCAAACATAAACTTCATCCTGCATCGGCCGTCGCGCAGATTATCAAGGGTCGCCTTATCTGCTGCACACTGCAGGGCGGATAAGCGAAAACATGCTACTGCTGGCGCCTCCCTTCTTATTTTTCCACCTTTTTCTCTTACTCCCATCCCGACCCCCATTACTAACCTTCCTTCTATAATTCCCAGCTTAATTGACAGCAACCGAAGTGCCACTGGAGTAGAACCATCTGCAGCCACCATCCCACAGCACCTATCGGCAAAAGTCCCTTATAAGGCCACGCTATCCCGTTTCCATGGCGACATTCAACTTTCGTACTCTAAGACAAACAGGTCAACAGGCTGCACTCGCACGCACTTTGGACACAGTGGGTGTAGATGTGTGCTGTGTGTCCGAAACTAGGCTCAATGACCCTAACGGGGTTATTGAATTAACTGCACCCGGCTTATCCTCTCGTTATTGGTTGCGCGCATCCGGAGACGTCGATGCAGCATTCACGGGTCAAGCTGGTGTAGGTATCATTCTAAGCTCCAAGGCTGAGCCATCGTTGGTTGATTGGATTCTGGTGAACAGCCGTTTATGTGCAGCCCTTTTGACAACATCAGCTAAGGTTGATTCACGAAGTAGTACAAAACGCTGTTTGTTTGTGATTTCCGCCTATGCTCCCGCCAACTGCAGTACTAATGCTGTCAAGGACACACTCTATCACGAACTGAATGCGCTATCACGCAGTGCTACTAGTTCAGATATTATAGTACTTGTAGGGGATATGAACGCACAAGTAGGGCGTCTGAGCTCTTCAGAAGCTCAGCTGGGTGGTAATAGTGGACTTAATTCAGAACGGACTGACAACGGTGAGCGTCTGCTGCAACTGTGTGCGGAGCACCAGTTGTTTCTTAGTAGCACTGCTTTTAGACACAGTGGGCGCCGAAGTGCCACTTGTCGTCCTCCTGTAGCTGGCCAGCGGTGGACCCAAATTGACCACAAGCCAAAAGTTACAGGTGGCGTGGTTCCATCTTAAATTGCCGCTTGTACTGGAGTACCTGTGTAGACTCTGATCATGCCTTGGTACGCTGTCGTTTCTCCATGAACTTTACCTGGAGGCGCACCAAGTGTCCCCTACGATTGGCAACGGAGAAATTGTCCCAGCCCTCGGTCAGGCAAGCCTACCAAGACGCACTGCATACCAAACTTTCGCTGTCTTGTTCTAATGACACCGAGCTTCAGTAGAATAGGATCTCAGCCGCCATGCATGAAGCAGGAGCATCTGCTTGTGGCACTACCTATCGTCACCTCACCAGTCACTGGATATCCGAGAGGTCCGTGAACCAGTTGGAATCTAGAAGACACCTCCCGGCTGGCTCTGAGCACAATGTGACCAGACGGGCTATTAGGCGTGAACTAAAGCAGAGCCTACGTGCTGACAAGGAAGTCTGGTGGACCAGTAGGGCTCAAGAAATGGAGGAGGCAGGAGCAGTAGGCAATTACCGCAAGCTATTCCAACTAATCCGCACCACTGGTCTCAGAAAACCAGGCGTCAGTGAGACAATCAGAGACAGCGCAGGTGCGCTGATACACAATAAGGAGCGCCGTATGGCTCGTTGGGCAGAACACTTTCAAGATCAGTTCAGCTGGCGCCCTGCTCCTGGACCTCTTCCTACTCAGGTGATGCAGGCCGTGCCATGGACGGTTAGTTTAGAGCCTACGTCGGAGGCCGACGTCCGAAACGCGATCACAGTCCTCAATTGTTTTCGTGCCGCTTGCCCGGATTCCCTCGCATCTGCACTATTTAAGGATGGAGGTGAGGTCCTCTGCAAAGCACCGACCTCCTTATTCGAATCTATCTGGAAGGAAGACAGTGTCCCGGCTAATTGGAGCGAATCGATTATAGTGGCAGTATACAAAATGGGCAGTCGCACAGACTGTGCGAACCATAGGGGTATTAGCCTAACGCCAGTTGTGACAAAATTACTGGCCTCGATTCTCGTTCGTCGCCTCACTGCAGAACAGGAATCTCGGATTAGGGAAGAGCAGGCCGGTTTCCGCCCAGGACGTGACTGTATAGACCATATATTTACTTTGCGGCAGGTGCTAGAGCAGCGCCACGCATACCGCAGACCGACAATAGCTGTATTCCTCGATTTTAAGAGTGCGTTCGATTCAGTCGATCGATCGATTCTGTTCGAATTCCTTGCGCGAAAAGGTGTTCCCACGAAATATGTGAACATCCTTCGTGCTCTATACTTGAACACTACAGGCCGCGTCAGGATCTACGGTGGCCTATCGGATAGCTTTCCGACCACAAGTGGCGTTCGTCAGGGTTTTAAGATTTCCCCATTTTTGTTCAATTTAGAAGTGGATTCTATCATGGAGTCTTCCTTTGCGGAATCTCACGATGTAGGCGTTGAAGTGCTGCCTGGTGAAAGGTTAGTTGATCTAGATTGTGTGGACGATATCGTCTTGCTTTTCGACGATTTTGCGGCGGCACAATCAACCCTGAATAGCCTGTCCAGAGTGGTCCCATTATTTGGTATGCACTTCGCACCTTCAAAGTGCAAAGTGTTGCTGCAGGACCACCAGCCACTTGATGACCCCTTGACGCTTGCTAACGAGGAACTCGAGGTGGTTGATCATTTCACTCATCTTGGCAGCTGCATCAGCAATGATGGGCGCATAGAAACTGACGTGAGCTCACCCATTGCAAAGGCCAGAGCTGCCTTCTTGAACCTGCCCCATCTTTGGCGACATAAGGGAGTTTCCCTCCGTCTGAAAGGCCGTGTATACAAGGCCACAGTGAGGGCCGTTCTGCTCTATGGCAGTGAGACTTGGCCCCTTCGGTCTGAAGATCTGAGGCACCTTCAAGTTTTTGATCATCGTTGTCTGCGAAGAATTGCTGGTGTAGGATGGCACCAGCGTGTCCGCAACGATGATGTGCGTAGACGAGTACTGGGTAGTGATAATCATGCTAGTTTCTTAGAACAACAGGTAACACTGAATAACTTGCATTGGCTCGGGCACGTGCTACACATGCCTGGTCACCGCTTACCTAGGACGGCCTTGTTAAGTCTGCCAGATGTAGGATGGCGCGAGGCTCGAGGTGGACAGAAGTTGACTTGGCAGCGGGAAAAAAAGCCACTGACGACAGACTGGGTGCCGTTGGTCCGTCTCGCCTTCCGGGTTGGAGTCCACGTGACTCGCCTTGTGCTTGGCTAGAGACTGTACAGGACATGGCTCGCAACCGACACCAGTGGCGCGTCTGCTGCCGCCTCCTAATTGGATTCCCTGTTTAATGTGTGTTTGGTGCCGAGTTATCTGCGGGGTAATGGCTGATTATGACGTGTGGCAGTGGAAGCCGCAAGGAAGCTGTCTCGCCGATGCCGCCTTATCTTTGCACGATAGCCAGCCGTTTGTGACGGTGTGTTGTCTACACAAGGCGTAGGCACCTTGACCCTGAAGGTTTGCTTAGGGCATTAAGGTTTTCAGGTAAGTCCCTCTTCTTATTCTTTATTTCATAGGTCCTCATGGTTGTATGGCAGCGAAGCATCAGTTCAAATGGCTGATGTACTGCTGTTGATGATGATGATTCCTCATCAGCCAGATAATTACGAGTTTAAGGCATCAAAGAACTAGTAC